CATAGCAAGTCCTCGACTTGCATCTTCCACCATCCAAAATCTTGCCCATCAAACTTCTCTATCCTGATCTTTCCGTCCTCAGACATATCTCTTCTGAGTATCCCAGATCTGACCAGAGAACACGTGAGAACGGATTGAGACAAACCACAACTGACCTCGAAAATTGCAGCAGCAAACTGAACAGCAAGGTTGTTCGGACTCCCCACAGATGACTATCTCGGTGGTCTTCTAATGTGTCGGCAGAAACCCTAGAGTCGCTAGGGTTGGCAGTGGAGGCAGATCTGTGTGTATGACCTAGGCTCCGATACCAGTTGTTAGGAACAAAAGCACACACACGAATATAAAGCAAGAAAGCGATAAAGAACACGAGATTTAACGTGGTTCGGTCTAATCTGACCTACATCCACAGGGGCAACTAGGGTTTGTATTATTGAGTGATAATGATTACAAGTACAGGAGATCATATATATAGACAACTAATTAGGGTTTAACCCTTGCTGGACAAGTTATAGCAAACTGGGCTTAAAACCATTTGGGCCGGCCGAAACCCTAATCTGGTCTCCTAACTCTCAGTTGTCTATAAGTGGGCCACTTTGGGCCGATGACTACACATCACCAACAATCCTTACTCCCACGGAAAGAACCTAGAAATACTGGTCTCAATGTAATGTTTATTAGCATATTATGTCCAAAATAAGAGAAAGTAGACATGTGCAAAAAGCTAACATTTCCTGCTTCAAGTGTCATGTGTAAAACTTTACAAAACAAGATGCAACTGCTCAATACGGAAGAGCTCAAAGTACCATTGACTCTGGAACAAATTATACCTGAGATAATTGTTCTGGAATGCCCATAGTCCATAGAATAGATTTTTCGATTGGATTTGATGTTATTTGGTAAGAAATGCCATTCTCTGCAAGTCTTGTTATTAAATGACCTGAAAAATGAAAGCAACCACAACTAGTGAGAGATCTAGTGGGTTATCCCACCGAATCACATAAAGACACCATTGTGTTAAGCCCATTTATGTTGGATCTGTATTCTTTAGCATGAAATTCATAGTCTGTAAATTTCTACACTTGAAACAATAAACTCATACGGAAAAAAAAGCATAGTTGCAAAATTCTGCACTAGGAGCATTTCTTGTCATAACTCATAACCATCTTAGGAAAGAGTAATGAGAAGAATGAAATTTTGAAAATGTAATTACAGGTTGTTAGAATAGAATGGAAATTATTATGACGTGATATAGTTGCTATAGTCATTGCCCAATGTCCCAAAATAAGATTGGTATTGTAAATTCAATACAAACATCCATTTCTTGGTATAAAAAAACAAATCAAAATACAAACATCATGGAACCTGATCTTTCAAGAAGAAAAAGAGATTTGAGTACAAAATGAATGACCTCCTATTGGACCTAGTTCCACTATTCTGGTATCAATGAGCGCCACAATCGACTTGAGGGCAAATTTTCCCTTTTCCCAGTTCTGCTTTTCTTTTTGCACCTTTTTCATCTCTGCAGCTTCAGCTTTCTGAGCGGCTTTCAGCATTTTCTCTTGCTACATCATGAACACAAATTAGGTCATAGGAAAATAAACTCTCTCCCTAGTAAAATAGTATCCGGACAAAGACTTACTTCTTTCTGCAGTTTTTTTTCATCCTTTAAACGAAGCTGTTCGTCCTTCAAAATCCTTTTTCTCTCCCTTGCTTCATCTATTTTATTTCCCCTACCTGAGTTATCTCTGTTTTTACTCTTTGGTTTCAAAGCCTTTATAAATGGCTCCAATCCGTCAGTTTCTTCACAGAGACTTTGATCGCCCTGCATTTACATCACATCAATAATTCCAGTACAAGGTAATTAACATGTTAGATAAAAAATACTTCAGACAACAATTTAAATGGAACAATAAAATTTATCATTAGCCAAAAGTGCACAATTTATTACTAAAGTTAGTTTATGGAGAAGTCATGGTGTCCTCGGTCCTCGAATGTTTCCCCATGACCCTTGGCAGGTGTTGTCATCTGAATCTTTTTGCTTATTACTTAAATCATATTTTCAACAATAATATTATTAGTATTAGTTATTGTCACTAAATAATATTCTATTACTAATTTTCAGCTCTAAACTCTAATATCATAATTAATCATTAATATATGTAATAATTGTATATACGCCATAGTTATCACGGCGGCAAGGCAAGGCACCAGTGTACCGCGTGGACCCCTAGGCAACATAGCCAACAATAAGGAAACACATAATAAATGAGAATATTAGTACATTAGTAACACTAAAATAAATATATGGCATAATATACTGCAATTCATAAAATTCAAAGTTCAAATTCAACAAAGTTTAATATCCATATGGAAAAAAATATGTAACGAAGTTCAAAATAACTCCGAAACATAAGTTAAAATCAGAAATTCAGAATAGTACTTTTTAAAAAAATAAGGAAATAAATCAAAATAGTACTAAAAACATCCAAAAATCGGGCCTTTTTCAGCCTTTCCAGAGGATTGTCCCAAATTCTAACGGTACCAAGCTACCACCTGAATGGTACCATGATACTGCCAGGTACAGGTTCCGCCAGAATGGATTGGCCTGAGCCGGTACCCACCGAACGCCCAATTTGGTACCTAGCTACCGCCGTCCAGTACCTCAATACCGTTAGGCCGGTACCATGATACCATTACTTTTGGAGAAATTTTCAAAATACAGATTTCAAATCTAATCACCTTTAATTAGTCAAAATCAATCCTAACTAACCTCCAACGGCTGATTACTATTTTCCACTATAAATATGGCCTTAATCCTTCATATTTCGTCAAGTATCCAAGCTCCAAACATCTTATTTTATATTTTAAGTATGTTCTTGATCTTGTTCTTCAATCTTCATATTTTGGCTTGTTAGAGCCTTGATTTTAACAATCCTTGAGCTTGTGATTATACGTATATATATAACTATATACTCTCATATTCAATAGGTTGATCTTGTATTGTTTCCGAGAGTATACTCTTCGTTCTTCACCGGTCAAGGATTGATCTTTTTCTTTATCATAGGCCAAAAGGTGTTGAACATTTTTATGTGTTTTTAGACACATATTTCACTCATTGTAATGGTCAGGGATAGCCACATAAATCCTTGTATAGACGGTTAGAGCCTTGA